ACATCAACGAAGTAAATCAGGAATCTGACTATTGGACCCAGAAAATTATAGATCTCGTGATTGAGAACATTGCAAGATTACCTTTTAGATATCAGAGGTATACGAGAGATAGTACAGTAGCCATATTCTATAATAGCTCTACGATAAAGCCAGTTAAAAAAGTAACAGCCTCATAAGAAGTCGTTTCGAAGCTCCCACCGAATTATAGTATTGTAATAGAGCTTCAAGTTGTGGTGTGAATCATACCTATGGGGAGGGGAGGTTATAAAAAATAAATAAGATATGATGCAAGATTTTAAGTAAGGTAAAGGTGAACAACGTACGAGATACTCAAATGTAGAAGGTTGTGAATAGTCCACATTTCGGATAGAAGGCTAGAAGCACGAGGATTCAATAACCGGGAATGATAGCGGCATCGTCAGCGGCATGTCTTCCAGTCTATGATTTCTAAGTACCGAGAGGTCTAGTTAAAAGAGTAGAGAAGAGTTAGAGGCGATGTGATGTCTCGCTTGACGTTCCAGAATAACATAAAGAAATCTATGGTGCAAGCTAGTTGAAGGAAGGTTGCGAGTAGTATAAATGGATATGTATAGGTCGCAAGCTAAAGTATGGTAGAGTGACAAAGTTTTAAGAAGACATAAGTAAGGATAAGGAAAGGCAAATGAAAAGGTGACGAGAATAGATAAGTCCTCGGGATTATGTCCATGAAAACAAGAGAGCTAATAGTTTATCTAAGTTATAGAAAGTTCAATATAGCCTAAATGAAACAAGGAGTCTAAGACTAATATCATTTAGAAGAAATGGAATGTTGCTCTGTTAATGGAATGAGGGTGTAATTGTGATAAGTAAAGGATGACATTTAGGCTTTCGATTGAGTAATGATTTGAAAACAAAAAAGAAAAAAAAGAAGAGGGGGATTTCATGAGTTGCACAAGATTAAAATACCCACGTATGGTGAATCACATTGGGATGCTATGAAATACGATTATGAAAATCACTTCAAATATTTGTCGATGCAATGTAAGCCCTAGTGGCAAGGTATTACGTAAGAAGTTTCAAGTTATCAATGGTATATTATAGATCAATATTGAGGCGAATCATAATGGATGGACAAAAGTCACAAAGTATGAGTTGAGATTAGGTCGTCATTCTTAATATGAACAATAATGCGGAAGCATTAAAGGACTTAGCCTTATACATATAGGATAAGCAAAGAAAGTAACCTGGAGTTTAGTCGTAGACCTCAGTAACGACAAATCGAAGTAAAAGAGATGGTATACTAACCTACTTAGATGCAGTAAAGTCATACGAATTGATAATCGAGTCTATGTAATAAGATATAGCAATATTCGTATATTCGACAAAGTATCGAACAAAGAACTTCAGTATACTTATAGATGCCTAGAGGGACATCTCACCAAGCTCTGTATATATTCACAAAGTGAGGCATAAAGATTGGCTAAAAGCTGGAGAAAAAAGTAGAGAGGATCGCATGGGAGCACTTACAAGATTAGAGTAGTACAGGCTGCATGAAAGAATGTAACAATAGTTACGAGATTGGAAGGATTCAGGCCACAAGTCGTGGCGTAAAGAGAGGCCTAAAGGGGGGAATGCCCTGGTCTTTGGATTTATTCATAGAACAATTGCCTAAATGGCAAGGAGAGCATTAAGGTATTCACAAGAGCTATAAATTATGAAAATGATAAGAGCATCAGTCAACATTCAAGGACGAATGTTCCAAAGGGGGAATGATGTTATGCCCCGCAATATTACGTCCCGCAGTATTATATTACGATAATATTACATCCTGCAGTATTATATTACAATGATGTTACATCCTGCAGTATTATATTACGATGATGTTATATCCTGCAGTATTATATTACGATGATGTTACGCCTTGCAGTATTACACTACGATGATGTTACGCTTTGCAGTATTAAATTACGACAATGTTGCACCCTGTAGTATTGTATATTGAATTTGTCGTAAGGTAATTGATATCAGTCCAAGGAAAAGATTATTCGAAGATTATAAGAATTATGTTATTTCACAAGTGATGAGTAAATTCGTAAAGATGAGAGGGGAAGCAAGTCAAAGAAAATGAATTTTCGTCCAAGTTTGGCATGTTAGGATAATATACGGGCCGAGCGTTAATATCCGATATTTATGGACGAGTGTCATACAAAGTACTACTACATGACCATGATAGTAAAGTGTATAAGGTGTGTTAAAAGTAAGTAATATTTTAAGTAAGTTGAGATAATTCTTAATTATGTGGGGTATTGGTTAATTGGGAAATTAACAAGTTATTAAGAAATGGCCGGATAACTTATTATAATCTTTTGGATAACCTTGAAAACATGGCAGCAAAATGTTGCAATTAATATGACTCTTATAAGTCTTGCAAGATGTCATATTTTGGTCAATTAAAGTGGCTTAGTTACCACTTGAAGTAAGTCCACACCCATTCAAATACACTTAAGAGATGTGTGACCAATTTACTTCATTTGGTCTCTTAGATTTTCAAGAGATTCAAGTAAATAGTTCTTTTCATTAAGAACTCACCTTAGACCTCATGAAGGAAATTATAACATTTTCCTACTCCAATACTAAATAACACATGATGAATCACTTAGTAGGCATTGGATTTGTGTTACCGTTGTGAGATTTTGCAATTATAAGGGAATACGGTGCAATCTTTCTCAAGAAAATTGGTTCAGGTATGTTAAGGCTATCCCTTCTTTCTTTTGGCATGATCCATACGGCACAAACGGAACGTGTAAATGCACAACTTTCACAAATGACTCTATTCATAGAAGTATTAGAAATGCCTACATTCTTGAATTCCCATGTGTCCTATTATTTTATCCTCTGTTCATGAATCTCAGAAAAATACGTAAGTTGAAAAGGTTTACTTCATGATATTACTCAAAGACATAATTGTCTTATGACATTCCGAAAGATTTTATTAACGTACTTCACATGCATTGCATTCATGTACATTGATCCATGACCATATCGCATTATATACGTGTATATATGTATATTATATGTATATGGGATATGGGAAAAGGTTATGGCGTTATATACGCACCACCACCTGATCAGTTGGTATACATTGATGATTTTGCCCATAGTGGTCGAAATGATATGATGGGATGCCCTAAGAGGCTGATGATGTTATGAAATATGTACATATACACGATATGACATTCATATTCATATGCATGATACTATAAGTATTTCATGATTTACAAAGTTTTTCAGACTTACAGGTTGAGTTATTTACTCTATATTTTTTCCATGTCTGTTATGTACTTATTTATGTGCCTTACATACTCGGTACATTATTCATACTAATGTCCCTTTTGCCTGGGAACGCTGCGTTTCATGCCCGTAGGTCTCGATAGATAGGCCAAGAGCCCTCCAAGTAGGCTATAAACTCAGTGGAAGATGTTGGTGCACTCCATTTGCTTCGGAGTTGCTTGTTTGGTTAGAATGATTTAGACGTGTACTGTTTGATATGGCGAGACTTTGTCCCGACCTTTATGAAAATTATGTATTCTTAGAGGCTTATAGACAGATGTCATGTATGTAAAAGATTGTATGGCCTTGTTGGCCTATGTTCAATATACGAGTGTTATTTTGGCTTTATAGGCCCATATGTCTTATGTATAAATTGGTATCACATGTTGTATTCTACTTAACTCATGGCAGCCTTTCGGCTCAGTTATCTATGATAGTATGACATGAAAAGATACGTTATGTTAGTACTCGGTTGGGTAAGATATGGGGTGCCCGTCGCGACGCATCAGTTTGGGTCGTGACATCGCCGTTACCTTTACCTCCGGTTGCCAACGATCCAGCGCCGCCTTTTATTCCAACTGGTGTTGTATCGGAGATCGTGCGTGATCGAAGTTTCTATGAATTCCAGAAGTAGTAGGGAATCAATCACGAGTAGTACAGTTCAGAATCGATATATTTCCAAAGATTTTCTAGAAAAAAAAAACTCTAAAGAATTGGCCACTTTTCCGTGTTGCAGCAAAATAGTGGCTATTTTTCAATGACTTTGCAAACGCTGGCATTTTTTAATTACCAGTCCGAAAACTAGCTAGCACATGCTATTTTTATAGCTGCATCGAAATATTGGGTCGCACCAGAATGTAGGTAAAAGAATGAAAAAATGACACTGTATAGCCACTCTCAAAATAATAGCCAGAACAATGTATATTTTTTGTAAAAGTTTTATACACTTTTTTGGCTACCAAATATAAATAGTTTCTGTCATGGGCTAGAAGTGAAAAAAGCCTTAAAAGCATCCTAACGCTTAACAATTCCAATAAAAGGGGAGAAAAAGTAGCATGAAATAGTAATAATCAGGGAGCAACAGTTTTCAGTAGCAATTTTACAAAACACTAGGCGTGATTGCTAAGTACCAAATATAATAACAAACTAGAAGGAAGTATCTTTCGACCAACACCAACTCCTTTCTAAGTTCGATCTTAAAAAAAAATTCTCCTAGAAAACTCAAAAGGATTCTCATGTCACAATCCAAAAGTAATTATTTCCGAACCAAATCAAACCATTCATACACAAAAATAAAAATAATTATAGAAAACCCTACACAAACAGGGTAAAGAAAAAGCAAAAAGAGAGTAGTAGTGAAAACAAAAAAAGAAATGAAAAGAAATGAAAAATAAAAATAAAAGGTGCCTAAATCCTCTCTTTTTTACCATGAAATTTTGTTTTACTCCTTGATTTCCTACTCTTTTTTTCGCACTTCATTTCTACCTCTTCCTTACTTTAAATTAACATAAATAGTCCTTCGTCCAACTCGCTCAAATTAAAAATAGCTGATATATATATATTCCTACTTATTAGAAGAGGGAACACATGCACCTCTCCGTCAACGTGTGTGTTCCCTTGAATTTTCTAAATTGTCTGGGGTATTCCTGTAATTTCATTAATTTACGGCTCACCCTTATAATTGCTGACTCTTTCTGCGGTCGCCGAATGCGTGGACTCCCAATTCCCGTAACTTGTTACAAGCATCCACTTCCAAGTTGAGCATCCATGGCCCCAAAATCCAGCAGACCTCACTTGCTAATTCAACGAATTCAGAGAAGTTAGCCCTTTTCGATTCACATATACCATAAAGAGCAGGTTTATTCCAATCACTCTAGCATTTCATTTTATTTATGCTTTTTGTTCTACTTTTTCTTCTTCTGCAAAAAGATCAGATCTTTGTGGTTTTCGCTTGATTAACAATCTTTTCTTCAGTTTGGTCTTAAGATCTGTTTCAGAAAGCTGAAAACAAACTGAGGTTGGGTTCTGATTTGTTCTTTATTTTTATTAATTTGTTTTTGATTTCTTATGTGAATTCTAAGTTGTCTTCATTTTTTCCCTGATGTTCTACTTTCTTTAAATCTTTAAAAGATTTTGGGACCATGGCAGTAAAATTAAAAATGGGACCCAAATAACCAAAAAGGGGAAGAAGTGAAGTAGAAGAAGAGTAGCGGAAGTTGCCATTGCCATATCCTCGATCCCCACAGACCCCTTTTCTCAAATCACATATAAGTACTATTTTTATAATTCTGCAGATTCAGATTCAGGAAAATAAATAAAGAAAATAAATAAACAAACGAATACAAAAGCAAACTCAAAGCGTCATTCAGATTCAGATGGTATGATTTGAAGAACCATTCAATAGTTCTCTTTCTTCAATCTTAGGTAATGAAAATCCTACAGTGTTTTTATAAAATAATTTTCTTAGTTTCTTTTATTTTACATTGTCGTTCTTTATTTATTGTATTTAGATTTTACAGGTTTTTGGATTAGTGAAATTGAGTATAATGTTATGTAGATTTTGGTTATGTTAATTAGTATAACTATCATTCTCAAATACTTATCTGATCAAGTTTAAGCTATTTGGTGAGATTCATAGTTAATGTTTCTATGTAACTGTGGGCTAATTAGTGACACCATTGTTTAGGTTATACATTTAGATGAATCTTTTATTGTATTTAGATTTTATAGGTTTTTGGATTAGTGAAATTGAATATAATGTTATGTAGATTTTGGTTATGTTGATTAGTATGACTGTCATTGTCAAATACTTAGTTGACCAAGTTTAAGCTATTTGGTGAGATTCATAGTTAATGTTTCTGTATAACTGTGGGCTAATTAGTGACACCATTGTTTAGGTTTAGATTTAGATGAATTGGTAATTTAGGAAGAGAAGGGTGGTGCAGTAATTCTTTTTTTATTTATAAAAAGGCTGATCTTTAAAAGATTTAACCCGGCGGGTTATTACATTTCTATTATTTACCAGTAGAATGAACAATAAAATTTGTTACTTAGGGTCTGCTGACGCCTTTTTTGGTTTGAATGTTCTAAATGCAGTTATCTTGCGGTACCAAGCTTGTGAAAAAAATGTATCCCGAGCGAAGAAACAAATGGCCATATGCAGAACATCCAAACTCTGACAAGAATGTCAGAAGACATGATATTTATGGGCAAATATCGCCCGATAAAAAAGAGACAATGTTACTACAACGCCGCACCAAAGAACTTGAGCGGCAAAAATGGAATAGTTCCATAAAATCGACAGTTGATCCAGATGAAAGAGTAATGTATCAATGTCACCCTATGATTCGAAAAGATAGTGCTCTTACCATAACAGAGGCTTCGTCTGCTGACGATGAAGGTTAGACTGAATTATTGCGTTTTATTTACGTTATGTTAGTGTAGCAGCAGACATATAAATATTCATAATTTATTAAGTAATTATTTTATACGCAGAGCAGGATATCACATGTTTACTTGAATATATTAAATGTACAATGCGTTTCAAATTTGTCGCAGTTGGCAGCAAGCATGATGTTAATACTTCCTCAAGTTCTTTGGATAAAGGAAAAAATGTCGGTCATGCGTCTTCTGTATTTGAAAGAGGTAAAGCTAGAACATCTATGAACATCTTTGTTAGTATGTCACAACTTAGGTGTACATCTAAATTGTGACAATTTGTACCCCAGGATCAACATCGCGTATATATAAGGGACAACATAATGTCTTCCCTATTGCCACACGCAAAGGTTAGTATTTCTTTGACGCTAGAGTAACACTATTCATTAGTAGAATATTTTCCATCTCTTTATTTTTAACAATACTTATAACATATAGGTTGTACCTTGACCAAAGTAATCCATAAGAAAAATAATGACACAGATACGGATTATGCACGATTAAAACCCATTCCAAACTGTAAATTTTGCAACGCAGAAAGGTTTCAATATGAACCTCCTGGATTTTGTTGTGGCAGCGGGTCAGTTAAGTTAGTTTCATATGAGCTGCCTAATGAATTATCAAATTTGTATAAAGGAAACACCGAAGAAGCTTAGCACTTTCGAACCTACATTAGAACATACAACAATATGTTTGCCTTTACGTCACTTGGTGTAACCAAGGATAAAGATTTGGCGAGGAGATATCATGGTATATATACCTTTCAAGTTCAGGGACAAATGTATCATTTTATACCTGATTTACTTCCTTTTGATAAAAAAGGAAAGAATATGCAGTTATACTTTTATGATAATGAAAATGAACTGGCTAACAGAATGGCTTGTTCAAGAAATATCAACGAATCAATTGTAAGGAAACTTATGCATGTACTATCAATTAATCCATATTCTATTTTTTTAAAATCCTTGACAAATGTTCCAAAACTGTCCGACTGCTATATCGCGCTTAAATGTGAACCAAAGTCAGATCAACGTGTATATAATCTACCAACTACAACAGAAGTGGCTGGAATATGGGTACATAATAATGCTGCTGATACTGTTTCTACGCCTCATATTCGTATATACACACATAGTAACAAGATTCAGTCAGTAAAGTATTATTATGGATGTTATGACCCATTACAATACCCGTTGTTATTTCCATACGGTCAAAATGGATGGTATTGTGGTATTAAAAAAATCACGCAAAGAGATCAACGTTATTGTAAACATGAAGAATTACCGAGTGTAAAAAACATGTGTTCCATTGATGGATTTCTTGATATGAAAGCTCAAACTATGGAAAAAGGAAAATGGAAAAGAGAGACAGTTTCTTGCCGTGAGTATTATTGTTACAAATTTCAGATAAGAGAGGATGACAAAAATGAAGTTCTACATTGTGCAAGATTATTTCAACAATTCATAGTAGATGTGTTCATAAAGCTAGAAACACAAAGATTAGATTTTTATTTTTTTAATCAAGATTTGTTTCGAATAGATATGCTATAAGGACTTATTGATTTTTTAAGACTTGGGGAAACAAAATCTTCCAAGATTGGGAAGAAAACATTCCTTCCTGTTACTTTTATAGGAGGGACAAGAGATATGCGCCGATGGTATATGGATGCTATTGCATTAGTGCAACGTTTTGGAAAACCTGATATTTTTTTAACAATGACATGTAATCCGTCTTGGCCGGAAATAAAACAACACTTGTTATCAACGGATGAAACTCAAAATAGACCTGATTTAGTATCACGAGTATTCAGAGCAAAAATAGAAGAATTAAAGGCAGATATCTTGAAAAGAAAAATCTTTGGAAAAGTTGCTGCTTTTATGTATACTATAGAATTTCAAAAACGTGGTCTTCCACATGCTCATTTTCTTATCATACTTAGTGATGAATACAAATTATTAACCCCTGAGTCTTATGATAAGTTTGTTTGCGCTGAGTTGCCTGATCATAATACCAAAGAGCACCTTTACTCACGCGTGCTTCAGCATATGATGCACGGACCGTGCGGTGATTTAAATCCTACAAATTCATGTATGGGAAAAAGAGGACTTTGTAAATTTGATTATCCAAAAGATTTTGCTTAGCAAACATCAAAAGGAAAGAATTCGTATCCAATTTACAGAAGACGAAACACAGGCGAATTTGTACATATAAGAGAACAATATCTGGACAATTCATGGGTTGTCCCATACAACCCTTACTTACTTTGTAAGTTTGACTGTCATATGAATATTGAAGTTTGTTCTGATATTAAAGTTGTAAAATATATTTACAAATACATTTGCAAAGGACATGATAAAATTGTCTTTTCTATACATAACAATGAAGAAATAGATGAAATAAAAGAATATCGATCTGCTAGATGAGTAACACCCCCTGAAGCGGCATGGCATTTATTTGGTTTTCCTATTAATGAAATGACTCCGAGTGTTTATCATCTTCAACTACATTTAGAAGGACAATAATTTGTTTCCTTTAAAAGCAATGAAACTATTAATAGAATTCTAAATAATCCGATGATTAGAAAAACAATGTTGACAGAATTTTTTGCTATGAATGCAACCGATGAACATGCTATAGCTATGCAATTATTGTATAAGGAATTCCCAGAATATTTTGTATGGTCTCCAGGATATAGAACGTGGACACGTCGCCAAAAACGTAACGTAATCGGACGTGTTGTAACATGTCACCCAACAGAAGGAGAGAGGTATTATCTCAGGTTATTATTGATGAACGTGAGAGGACCTAAATCATATGAAGATCTTCGCACCGTTAACGAGGTACGTTGTAGTACATTTAGAGAATCAACAGAAAAAAGAGGATTATTATATTGTAACAACAGTTTAATTGAATGAATGTCGGAGGCTGTAAACTATCAAATGTCGTATAGCTTGAGACGTTTATTTGCGACATTGTTAGTATATTGCAATCCTGCTAATCCAAAAATATTATGGGAAATGTTTGAAGATTCAATGTCCGAAGACTTTAAACATTTCTCTGAATTTCAAGGAAAAACCATTCGGCACAAGGTTTTAAGCCATATCAATGATATTTTGTACTCTATGGGACACGACATAAATGAGTATAAGCTTATTCCAGAGAATATTAGACCTTCTGAAATTTCAAAGGATGCAAAGGATGTTCATTTTGAAAGAAATATTATTGTTAGTGAAAAAGACTTGATCTTACCGAAGAGATTGAATGTTCAACAATTACATGCCTATAATACAATAATTAATAGAGTATTTTCTGGAAAACAAGGAGCTTTCTTCATCGATGGTCCTGGAGGAACATGTAAAACTTTTTTGTACTGTGCATTATTGGCAACTGTCCGGTCCCAAGAATTTATAGCTTTAGCAACTGCAACTTCTGGTGTGGCAGCTTCTATCCGTCCAGGAGGACGGTCTGCTCACTCCCGGTTCAAAATGCTTATTGATATAGATGATAATTTTTGCTGCAACATTAGTAAACAAAGTTCAGTCGCACGTTTAATTAGCGATGCAAAATTAATTGTATGGGATGAGGCATCAATGGCAAAAAAGAATATGATTGAAGCTCTTGATGCACTTCTGAGAGATATTATGAATGTCGATACAATGTTCGGTGGTAAAGTTATTGTATTTGGAGGTGACTTTAGACAAACTCTACCAGTTGTTCGAAATGGGAAAAAAGAAGATTTTATTCACGAAAGCTTATTGTATTCTAAAATTTGGAATAAACTTGAAAAATTGTACCTATCTGAAAATATGCACGCAAGAACAGATCCTTCTTTTTGTGAATATTTACTCCAAATTGGAAATGGAACAGAAACAACTAATTGTGGAAAAAAAATAGCGATTCCTGATTCCTTTATTATTCCTTTTACGACCGAAGAAGAATCCTTAGATGCATTGTTTAGTGTAACATATCCTGATTTGCATGCATTTTCTCCTGATTCATCTATGATAACATCTCGTGTTATTTTAACAACGAAGAATGACTTTGTCAACGAACTACATAATATGTTAATCACTAAATTCCCAGAAATATCTAAAACATTTGTTGCAGTAGATGAAACTATTGAACCAAATGATCAAAGTCAGTTTGAAGATTTTCTAAATAGTTTAGATCCTCCTGGTTTACTGCCTTATAAGTTAACTTTAAAGGAAAATTGTCCAGTTATATTATTATGAAATCTGAATCCTTGCGAAGGTTTATGCAATGGCACACGGTTGACATGCTGTCACTTTAAAACACATGTTATAAGTGCTAAAATTGAAAGTGGTGATTTCAAAAATACACATGTATTTATTCTGAGAATACGATTGTTAACATCACAAGATGAAAAAATACTTGTTCAATTTAAGCGAACACAATTTCCCCTACGACTGTGCTTTGCTATGACCATAAACAAAGCTCAAGGTCAAACATTAGATTTTGTTGGAATTTACTTACGTGAACCTGTTTTTTCTCATGGTCAACTTTACGTTGCTTTATAAAGAGCCAAAAGTTCAAACTGTGTTAAAATACTGATTCGACCATCAACAACAGACAATAATGATGATCATTCAACATATAATGTCGTTTACGACGAAATTATTCAGAAAGCTTTCTCGTAGGAAACCTAATGATCTTTAGCTCAACAATAAAAAAACCAAGTTTTTAACTCCGCCTGTGTTTCAGTGACACTACTGCACCACAGCCGGTCCCAAGCCCGGAAAAAGGAGGAGGGTTTATTGTGTATTTATGCTTTGCAATTCTAAAAGGTGGGATGATTAGTGAAGCAACATACGTTGGATCTTCCAAAACCAATAAGGTATATCTGTTTCAAGGTTCTTCTGGCTTACTTTATTACAATTCTTTTCCCCATTCTATGCGCCTTTAGTCACAGTTATTTCTTTTATGCTCCTATGTTTAGCCAACCAAAATTTTGAGTTGGACCAAGTAGGTTGTACGTGAGGCATCATCTCGCCAGCAAATCAATTATTTGGGCATGCCGCATACATAACAACCACCAAACATGTTACAAGGTCGCTAGGTTCAACTATTATTTCCTGTTTCATATCTTGCATCACAAATATTTAATATGGATTATCTAGAGCTCAAACGCGATATTGGTTATTTTGAGTATTATGAATCGTTCATGTTTCTCTTCAAAATTCAATCTTTGAATTTAAATCTACTAGATATGAAGATATCAATTTCATGTTAAAACTTGCTCTATACTTCTAATCATTTCCTTTCTGTTTTTATAAATTAACTAGCTTTTATTTTGCGCTAATATTTGTTTTTTCACCAAGTTTATTTTTTGACATTTGAGGAATAATAATATAGTGAAAGTGAAGAGTAATTAAGCGCTTACCCTTTGTCATCGACTCTTTCCCTTTCTATTCCTGGTTACCACCTTTTTCCCCCGGAATTCATATTTATNTTTCCGGAATTCATATTTATTTTCCTCTTTTTTCCAATCTACACTATAAAAAGCAGTTGTATTTTTCACATCTCTACGGAGTCAATGTTTGAAACCTGCAAGTGAAATCACTGGTCAATGTGAGGTGGCAAATAAATGTTCTCTGGATGGGTTGCCATGGAAGAGGCACAATTCTGCCCAAATAGGAAAAACTTTTACGCATTTGCAAAAAGTTCTTTTTGAATGAAGGATTGTAATTTTCCACTTTGATAATAACATCCTTTTACTAATTGGTTTCTTTCCTTTTCAAAGGATCCAATTTCCTGTGAAAGATGGTTATTTGTTTCTACCTAGGTCGTAGGAATATTCAAAATATTAAATAACAACTTACACTTACAGCTTTTCTGGATTTATCTTTGGGATGCTAGAGTGCATGCTTTATGAAATGTTTGCCATGTAGATGTTGGAAGCATAAGTAAAAGCAAACCTGCTGAAGTGGTACTTTCTGTTTGCATTTTGTGTGTGTTAGCCTTATTTAGCCCTCAATCTTATCTGTACGCATGATTGAGTGACCATTTTTGATTTATTCCTTGCAAATATATAACCTCTAACTAACTTCTGAGCTGTTCAACTATGAGGTCGCATACTAACTCTTGCTAATTGACACTTGTACTATCCAGATAAATTGCGCTTTAAGGTTATTTGTACATCTTTATTCATTTAAGTTAGCTCTTCTAAATTTTATTGCTTGCATTGTATCCGTACAGTTACCTCCTCATGAACCTTTGTTGGTACAGAGACCTGTCAACTATTTTCTACAGGTTTAGTACTTCATCTACCAAGTTGTGATTCCTTATATTTGTTATTTTCTGCCATTCTCCACAACTCTTAATTTTGACCTTGACTGATCTTTCTGTTATGTTTCCTTTGGGAAGTTTGTTCCCATATTTTTTTTTGGGCGGGGGGATATTTTCTTCGTTTTATGTGCAAATGGAGGCTCTTCTAACTTAAAATCTTTAAATTGCCTTCTTTCTATACAATGAATCAACAGATCTCTTCAAGTTTTTTCAGTAATTTGATCTTTAATGGACATCTATAAATGTTGGACAATTTTGCTCCGCTAAAGTGTATTTCTGATAATACTTATCAAATTACATAGTTTTTAAAAAAGAAAAGGTGCAGTGGCTATAACATTCACTTTAAGATTCAAAAGTTGGTTGCACTTTCTGTATAACTGCACAACTTATCACATCAACCACGCCATCATGTAAAGGTCACTTTTCAAGTCATACTTGGCTCATTTTGGTTCAGATGAATAATGAGTCATACGTGGTTACAGAAAAATGATTTACGTGTGAAAAATGGAGAGAGTCTGATAAAAATATGATTTTCTTCTTTTTGGTACTGATTTTAACAATATGTTTTATCTGAATTTGCCTACACCAAACTTAAAATTTGTAGGGATTATTGGAGAAGATCATTTGAAGCCTTACAGGAGCAAAAGGATGATCATCTTCGCTCAATTGCCCTTGGATTACCTCCTTCAATAAATGGTAATGTCCTCCTCCTGCGTAAAAGGAAAAGAAGCAACAACCCATTTATGTGACTAACAAGGTTAAGGCAGACTACACTTTAGGGTTAAAACTAGAATTGTATTTCTGACACAGTCACGGGAGATTTACTTGGGTTCGATTACAGTAAGGCAAATATCCTTGCGCCTTTTATAATGGGCATGAAGTTAAGTCCACTCCTTATTTGTCGACCCTTAAAACAAAGTAAAATTGTTGTTCTTCAAAGTCCAAGCTTCGTTAGGTCCCTACAGGAAGATAAGACATACGAGGGAACTGCAAAAGGCAGAGTAACAACGTTACTTCTTTTGTTACTTTATTCTATGTTTGGTTGGGCAGAAATAGTAGCTTCAAGAATGAGGCAAGGTCAGCCCTAAGTCTAAGTTGAACTGACATGGCTGGGAGGTGTTGTTTGCCACATTTCGAGAGGCAACTGAGAGAGAAGCCGAAGTAAAAGAGGAAGGGATGGCAACTCCTGCATGCCTACTTACTCATTCGTTCGAGTCGACTAGAAGTAAATTATGGATACTTCAGCTATGAAAAACAATCATTTCTCTCTCGTTTTACTGTTACCTTTCATTTCCTGCAACAAAACATAATATTAATCAAATTGGCATTAAATCTGTTAAATTACATTAGACTGAAACCCGGATTCACATGTTTTAATGGTACTGTAATGAATTGTCATAATACCAAAGCCTTACATGTCCTAATGTTTTGTCTGGAATAAGCCAGTTTTTTTGGTTCACTGCAACGTATGGATAACGTAGATGACCGAAAGATAATACAACTGATCTGTATTTTCTCATTTGATATGTGTAGTGGTTATTTATGAAGGTTCTTTTCACATACAACTATTTCCCATTCAATTGGGAACTACCAGTGATCCCTGCCAACGACAATTCTGCTATATCTTCAGCTAATGACAGCCAAAAATGTAAGTGCCCAAGGCAAAACTTGAGTGTTGCCTACTTTGTCCGCAACTTCAATTGTAAACTGCAGTGTTCGTCTTCACAGATACAATCATGATTCCTCACAATATATAACATTATCCGCCTGTTATGCTATACATTGCGCGGATACGCATGATTTTGATACCATTACATATATATAGCACTAATACAATTCTTCAGGTTACCGTCGGAATAGCTAGGTAATACTCCGTATAACCAAACGATATAAAAATTTTAACGGTGTGCCCAGACAGACCAATTCATGTTATTTTGTACTTCTAACATTTCCTCTACAGTCACTTACATTAACTTCCCTATAAGGAAACAATTTTATCAGCCGAATGAAACTCTTACAGTAGTTCATATTTCACTGCTTTTACTAAACCTTTCTGTCTTACAGTAGTTCCTTCATAAATATTTCCCTGCTTTCACTGTACACTTCTATTTTCCACTCTGCTTTGTAACCAGCTAATTCTGATTTGTATCAACCTCTGTCTTAAAAGGCAGAATTAGGACTCGGTCGGGCCTCGCACCGGGGCGGAACACTCGTAAAACGCCCCTGGACTTATGTGTGGGACTTAGTGCCGTCAGACTTACACCTCGGCCGTCGGAACTTACACCCCGAATACGGCCAATGCCCAGCGTACTAAGGTTTGCCTAATACTCCCTCCGTTCCAGTTTATGTGAACCTGTTTGACTGGACACAGAGTTTAAGAAAAAAATGAAGACTTTTGGAATTTGTGGTCCTAAACAAATCCAAATGGGGACCAGAGTATTTGTGTGGTTATAAAAGCTTTTTATTAAGGGTAGAATTGTAACTTTAAGCTAAATTGTTACCAAATTTAGAAAGGGTTCATTCTTTTTGGAACGTATAACTAACCTTGTAAATACTCAAATTTTCTTAATAAATCATTGACTATCCAAAATAACTTTTTCCTTGATCATAAATCATTAAGTTGAGAGTATTTTATGTCATAAGCAAACGTTATCTACTAAAATTACTATGATAGTTAATTTTAAAAGAATCTTTCATTTAAAAAGTATTTATTTATTAACTTTTGTTATGTCTTTACTATATAATAATCCATAATTTTTTTTAAAATTATTTTTTAAAATATTCTTTTTTCCACTTGTACAAGATACAATACTTATTAATTTAATAGAATCATATTTAAATTGTGAATTATGTTTTTATATAAATTCTCTTTCAAATAGAAAGCATATTAAATAAAAGGCGAATTTTAAGACAAAATCAAATTATAATATTGAAATTCTTTCAAGATTCATTACTCCTTAAGAAATACATATAAGATTTTGTATCGAATACATTTCATATTTTTCGTATTATTCATAGTTGAATTATAATTTATAAATATTTTAAATAGATTATTTGTTATAATTTTGTGATTTTAATGTAATTTTTATAAATATTTTTTATTTTATTCTATCTTAAAATTCTTGAAATTAATAAAATTTAAAGATACGTGTGACTTACACCCCACGTCTCAAGGCTTACGCCTTGCTTCATCAAATATAAAACGCCTCGCATCACGCCCCCGCCTTTTAAAACATACTATCAACAATCACCTATCTATATTAAATATGATGTAGTGCCACCATCAGATAATTTAATTGCTGACAATGATTTCTTAATGCACTAACTACAGTGACACGTAAGTCATTCCAAGATTAATTTTAGCT